ACGGGCAAGCATCTGCCGCAACTGCCTATCTGAACGGGCCCATGCTTCCTCCAGTCCGCGGCCCTTGACGCGGCGATCGCCTGCGACCCCCGTCAACATCTTCTCGTCGCGTCAAGGGCGCGCTCAGCCCCATTCCTGCGTAGGAAATAACGCCCCGCAGAACCACGCGACACATTCCAGCTCAAAGTTGAATCGGCCACTAGCCAGCGCTTCCAACACAAGCGCTAAACGAGCTCAATCATCACGCCCCCTGCCTCGGAACGAGGCACGGTCGAAGCAGTCTCTGAGAGAAGGCGCTCAGCGAACAAACACCTTAGAACAAACACAAAGTCTGTTCCACCTCCACCACGTCGAAGAAGCAAAACGCCCACCGCGACAACTTTTGCCCCGCCCCCTCCCACACCCCCCGAATATCTGCAAACGTCGGGGGGCTTGACTCGAAGAGCTGCCGCATGCGCCCTAAAGCCCCTCGGCCCACAGTCACGCGCAATGCTGCCCATGGCACGCTGGGAGCGCAGAGACGCCAGCATGGCTTCTGCGCGCGAGAGAAGGCGAGGGAATCATAAAAACACCCGACAAGCTTCCCTGCAACGTTGCTCCACAAGCGCTTCTTGCCAAGCGTCTGCGGAGCGCGGCCGAAGAGGAGAGGCCGCTCGGGCCCCGCGGGTCGGATACCCGGGCCCAAGCACTTCGCGAAGCCATTCAGGAGACGAGGCTGGGACACCAAGAGCCGCTCGGTGAGCGCGCCCGTCGCAATGCGTCGAACGCGACCGCGAGATTGAATGGGCGCGCCGACGGGTGGTCCACCCGCGAGCATCACTTGCCACAGCAAGCACGCCGTTTCTTCCGAGTGCGCCCACCTCCCCCTCATTGCACTCACAACTGGGAGCAGCCGGCGCCCGCGCGCGCCGCCGCGCAATAAAAATAACCCCACAAAGGTGACGAGCCGCCATTGGGGCGACGCGCCCGAAAACAAATACAAATCCAAGTCGGCCTCGCGGAACCTCTCGAGGCAATCTCTCCAGAGAAGCATCGCGAAACAATCCGCTCGAGGGCCCCCCCCGACGCCAGCGGCCACGCGGTGAAAAGTCGGCAGGTCCACACGGCCAATCTTGGCCAAAAGTTTGAAGAGCTCTGCATTATCATCGCCAAGTGCCCACAGTGTTTGCAGATCTTCCCGGTCACCAATTGTGGACACGCACTGGACGACGCAGCGAGCAGGGGGCTGATTTCTGTGCCCTAGAGCCCGCATGCTCGCAACGCGCCAGGCAGCAACGGCCCGGAACTGCCCGCGACCGCCGCCAATCAAGGCGCTGGGTCACCTGGCCGAGGGCCCCCATCGTACCGACAAATGGTCTCTCTGAATATATCCCAACCGATCCCCGCCCCCAGCGGCGCGGCCTGGGCTAACATATCTTTACGTTATATGAATGATAATATGTTTTTAACACGCGAAAAAACACGAGCTGTTCGCCGAGGGTGGACGGGGCGACCGGGCTGCCCGCCACGCCAGTCCGAACCGCCAGTAGGCGCGCCGACGCCAGCACGGCGCGGAGACTCGCGCCTGCCAGGGGCCCCGCTAGCTCTAGCAGGAAGACTGACTCCGCAAATGGGCATGCCGCGAAATCAGACCCATCCGCACCGAGGCCACCCGTCAGAAACGCACAGCTCATACACAGGTCACGCGCGCCATCATCCCTCGGCGCATCAACGGCGCTGATATCGAAAGCCCGTGCCAGAACTAGCCCCATGACGACTTGTTCCCCATCTGGCACTGGGCAATCACGGAAGAACTCTGAAAACAGACAAGTTGGTGCAGCAAAGGCAAGAACGCAGCGCAGAGGAGGCCCATCCACCGACTCCTCGCCACCGCTGCTACCTCCCGCTGCGCGCGCGGAGCATTCGCTGCCGCCCCCTGCCACGTCGCCCTCGTCGGCCATCCTGGCCCGAAAGCCTGCGCGGCGCCATCTGCTGCCGCGCCGCGCCGACGAGAAGAAACGAAGAAACGGCACAAAACGACGCTTGGGCCAAACCGGCCACAGATCTCCGCTCGCAGACAACTGCGAGACGACGAATGGACTGCCACTTCACAAGCGGCAAGGCCGACCCCAGACATAACATAGTGGGCATGTGGCGTTGCGCATAGGCTCGGGGGTCGAGGGCCCACTCGCAGGATTTAGGTGGAGGCCCCATATGGGACCACGAAACGCGCGAGGGGCGTGCCGAACTGGGCGCGGCCACCGACGCGAACGCGGCCACTGGGGCCCTATGTGGAGACCCATATGGGGCCACCTAACGCGCGAGGGGGGGACCCGAAATGGGCGCGGCCACCTATGCGAGCGCGGCCACTGGGGCCCTAGGTGGAGCTCCCCATGGCCCACGCAACGCGCGAGGGGCGTGCCGAAATGGGCGCGGTCACAGATTCGAGAGTGGCCACTGGAGCCTTCGGTGGCGCTCCCTATGAGGTTTGGGGGTCGAGGACCCAATGCGAGCCAGAACCCATCCAGCATCCCGCTGCGCCGCCGCCCGAAAGTTCACACCCTCATTCCTGAAGCACGAGGACATTAAGGTAAAATTCCCACCAGCCCTTTGGGCGTGAGTGGTTTAGGGAGCTCTCTCTGTTCTCAACCCCCCTTTTTCCCCTTCGGGGAAGGGTTTACCCCTCCCCCTACCCCCTCCCCCTGGGCCTGGAGAAGTCCTTTCGCGGGTGGCCGGAGGGGTCTTTTTCGACTCCTGGGCGGGCTAAAAAACGACACCCCTCACGAGGATTCTGGCCCCGACGGGGGGAGGCAGAAAAGAACCCTCTCCTCTTCTTCGAAGCCAAAATCATTGATTTTACTACGGTTTGGGCCCCATTTTGGCCTTCTGAGGGGGCAGCGCTCATTAAAGCTCCCCTCTTCTTTCAAGCCAAAATGATTGATTTTACGAAGGTTTGGGGCTCACTTTGTCCTTCTGAGGGGGCAGCGCTCATTAAAGCTCCCCTCTTCTTTGATCGATTCCCTCCAAGATGGCCCCAAGAAGCGCCCAGGAGGCACCAAGAGGCCCCAAGATGGCCCCAAGAGGCCCCCAGGAGGCCCCAAAGAGGATCCCAAACGGCCCAAAGAGGCCCCCCCGAGGCACCCAAGACGCCGAAAAGCCCATCAGGACGACCCTCTACTCGCCTGGGCGTCGTTTCTGGACGGGCAGGAGGAGGGGCCCGAACGACTCACACCAGGACGAGGGGCCCGAACAACTCACACCACGAGAAGCCCGAACGACTCACACCAGGACGAAGAGCCCGAACGACTCACACCACGAAGAGCCCGAACGACTCACACCAGGAAGAAGGGCCCGAACGACTCACACCAGGACGAGAAGCCCGAACGACTCAAACCACGAGGAGCGCTTTCTCTCCCTCCTCCTCCGCCTCGTCCTTCTCCCGCTCCCACCACAAGGAGGATGTACAAGGAGGCGGGAGGAAGGAGGAACAGGGGAGATATGCGGGGGCAGGCGGAAACACGCCTGAAAAACACGACTGTCGGCATGCTTCGCTAGAGTTGCTGTTTTGAGATGGGCTGGTGGGGATACGCGAAGCGTGAAGAATATGATTACCCTCCAGGAAATCCATGTAGAAACAGATTTAGTCATACAGTGGAGGGATGATTGTACTGGGGTGGAAATCGGTAGGGGGCGATTGGGCTGGGGAAGAAACAGGAGCTGATTCACTCACTGGCCCAACGAAGACCACTGCTGCTGTTCTTTGGTGCTTACTACTGTTTGCTGTTACTTGCTGCTGGTCGCTGCCAATTGCCGCAAATTGCTGTTGACTGCTGTTTGTTGTCTGCTGGCAGCTGCTGCGGGCTGCTGTTTACGCCAGTGCTGCTTTTGCTCGGTGCTGTTGCTGATCGCCGAGTGCTGCTGCTACGTCTTCCTGATGCTGGGTGGTTCCGATCGCTGCTGTCTGCCACTGCTGCTTGTCGCCCGTGACTTCTGCTGCCGATGGCTGCTCGCGAGTGGTATGTTGGCTCTGCTGGTCAAGCCTCTGCAATTGCTGGATATGCCGCTGTTGGCACATCTGCTAAAAGATAGCATAACACGTTGGGCATATTTTCGGGCATCATAGGCCGTCTTGGTGCCGTGTTCGGGCCTCGTCGGCTGGCTGGGGCGCCTCTGCGAGCTGCAGAAGGTCTTCGAGGGTCTGTGTTCGGGCCCTCTTGGGCCGCGTTCGCCTTCGGGAGCCGCTTGGGGGCGCCAGGGGCCATCCAAAGACCCTCTTGGGCTGTCTCGGCGCTCTCCAGGGGCCGTGTCGGGGCGCTCCTGAGCCCTGCGGCGCGTCTTGCGGCCCGCTTCGGCTGCTTTGGACGCACCTGTGTACCCGTCGCTGTTCTTGCATCATCTTGTAGGGCCCTCGATGATATTCGCAACATTGTGCCACTCCTGGTACCAGGTTTCTCTGGAACGATCTTGAAGAGCAGGGCCCTGTATCACACAGAACCAAAGATGCCAGAAGGGAAATTCACCATCATCATCCCTACAGGCCCTCCGGCCGAAGCCCTGCATGCCGCCACGCTTGTCCCGGGCAGGCTGTGCTGCCCGGCGGAAGAGCACGAGGAAGGAACGACGACGACGAACGCCCAGGCGGGAGGCCAGGGCCCGCTGGGCAGGCGGGCAGGCAGAAGAGGGGCCAGGCGGAGGCAGCAGGCAGGGAGCAGGAGGAAGGGAAAGGGAGGGAAGCAACGAGCAGAAGGAGAGGGGGCAAGGAGGAGGGGAGAGGAAGCAACTGCAAGCTGACAGGCCGGGTCTGGGACCGGGAGAGAAGAGCCACCCGCGACGAGGTGACGGACCCTACGGCGGCGACCTGGGCGGGGTGGCCGACCGAGCCCAGCCGACCGAGCCCGTAGCCCGCCAGGCCCTCGAGAGAATGTCAAGGCCTTTGGAGGGCGATGGGGGGTCCCAGAGCCCCCACTCGGTGCAGGTGCCGTTCCCGCACGCCAGGGGTCAAAAATTGTAAATATGATGACGTCGGGCTGCAGCTCTGCCCCCCGCAGCTCGCTCAGCAACGACAAAGCCTGCTGCCACTGGCTGCCTTTTCCGCACGCGCTGATCCCAGCGCTGTAGGCGACGACACCGAGTTTCCACGTCGCCTGCCACATGGCACTGAGAAGCAACAACGCCTGTTGCCACTGGCTGCATTTTCCGCATGTGCTGACAGACGCGAGGTAATGGTGTGGGCCGACTCGCTCGCCCAGCTGAGACGCATGGCGCAACAATTGCAAAGCTGAGCTCCACTGCTTGGTCCTCTGACACTCCGCGATGCCAACATCGAGGGAAGAATCGCCTGGTCGAGATCCCTGCGGGACGCATAGCATCAGCAGAGACGATCTTGAGCAACAACAGCTAGACCCTACACCGCCAGAGGAGGGCTGACAAGGACGGAGGGGGAGTGTGGGAATGGCACGCACGGAGAAAGGGCCAACACGGCACGGGGCACGAACGAAGGGGAGAAGGCCCCCGAGCTGTCCGCGGGGGCGACCCCGCCGATTCTCAGGGGGTCCCGCCCCCCGAGCTCAGTCCAATCTCTCCGCCTGTGACACGCGGGCTCCTTGCGCCAGCCGCCTGAAAGACCAGCACGGGTGCCTTCCAAGGCCCCGCGCCACGCCATATAAGCAGGGCCTGCAGAAGGAAGAGGTCCAGCACAACGCGTCCGGCGTCAGTGCAAGATGGTTGGCGGCGGGGGGGCGGGCAGGGAGGCGGGCGGCGTCAGGCATGGGAGGAGGCGTACGTGGTGAGTGGGCGGCCGCGGCAGTAACGTGCGCGGTTGCGGTAGCAATGGCATTGGTATTGATAGTGGTAGCGAAAGCAGTAGCAGCAACAGCAGCAGCAGCAGGAGTAGTAGTAGTAGTAGTAGTAGTAGTAGTCGTAGTCGTAGTAGTAGTAGCAGCAGCAGCGCAGCAGCAGCAGCAGCAGCAAGAGCAGCAGCAGCAATAGTAGTCGTAGTAGTAGTAGTAGTAGTAGTAGTAGTAGTAGTAGTAGTAGTAGTAGTAGTAGTAGTAGTAGTAGTAGTAGTAGTAGTAGTAGTTAGTAGTAGTAGTAGTAGTAGTAGTAGTAGTAGTAGTAGTAGTAGTAGTAGTAGTAGTAGTAGTAGTAGTAGTAGTAGTAGTAGTAGTAGTAGTAGTAGTAGTAGTAGTAGTAGTAGTAGTAGTAGTAGTAGTAGTAGTAGTAGTAGTAGTAGTAGTAGTAGTAGTAGTAGTAGTAGTAGTAGTAGTAGTAGTAGTAGTAGTAGTAGTAGTAGTAGTAGTAGTAGTAGTAGTAGTAGTAGTAGTAGTAGTAGTAGTAGTAGTAGTAGTAGTAGTAGTAGTAGTAGTAGTAGTAGTAGTAGTAGTAGTAGTAGTAGTAGTAGTAGTAGTAGTAGTAGTAGTAGTAGTAGTAGTAGTAGTAGTAGTAGTAGTAGTAGTAGTAGTAGTAGTAGTAGTAGTAGTAGTAGTAGTAGTAGTAGTAGTAGTAGTAGTAGTAGTAGTAGTAGTAGTAGTAGTAGTAGTAGTAGTAGTAGTAGTAGTAGTAGTAGTAGTAGTAGTAGTAGTAGTAGTAGTAGTAGTAGTAGTAGTTAGTAGTAGTAGTAGTAGTAGTACTAAAAACAGTAGTAATAGAAGTAGTAATAGTAGAAGTAGTAGTAGTAGTAGTAGCAGCAGTAGCAGTAGTAGCAGTAGCAGTAGCAGTATCAGTAGTAGTAGTAGTAGCAGTAGTAGTAGTGGTAGTAGTAGTAGTAATAGTAGTAATAGTAGTAGTAGTAGTAGTAGTAGTAGTAGTAGTAGTAGTAGTAGTAGTAGTAGTAGTCGTAGTAGTAGTAGTAACAGTAATAATAATAGTGGTAGTAGTAGTCGTAGTGGTAGTAGTAGTTGTTGTAGCAGCAGTGGAAGCGGCAACGGCAGTGATAGTGGTAGTGGTAATGGTAGCTGTAGTTGTAGTGCCAGTCATAACGTCAGTGGCAGCGGCGGTAGCAACGGCAGCAGCACCGCCAGCGGCAGCAGCAGCGACAGCGGCAGTGGAAGTAGAAGTGGTAAGGTGGCCGTGGCAGTGGAAGCTGCGTACGCTCAGACAGCAAGGAGATGAGACGAAAGGAGTAAGCGTAGGGGGGGGGGGGGCGGTGCGGGAAACAGGGGGACAAGAAGACAAAGAGACAAAAAAAAAAGATAGAACCAGAGAGAGAGAAAGAACAAAGAAATGGAGGGAACGAGAGCGAGAAAGAGAAAGAGAGAGAAACAGAGAACATGGCATTTGCACCGAATGATACATGATAGATCTGTTCACTCCGATATTTAAATATACACGTATACATATATGTACATTCATCTAAAATATATATATATATATATAATACAGAAGACGGGGCATGGAGGCAGAGCCCGCAACAGAGACAGAGACAAGGGTGACAGGGGGAGATGGAGCAAAAGATAAAGGGAGAGAGAGAGAGAAAGAACCGGAACAACAAACAGAAAGAGAGAGAGAGAGACTGACAGAGAGCGAGAGGGACTTTTCTGGTGATGAAGAAAAAGGGGGCAGGGAAAAGGAGGACGAGGACAAGGAGGAGAAGAGGACATGGAGAAAACAGGACCACGGCGACCATGACCGAGGCCAGGGACGGTGGCGTTCCTCCCCCTCTCTCCCTTCTCCCTCCTCCACTCCCCCTCCTCCCCTTCCCCCCTCCTGTCTCTACTCATCCCCACCTGCTCTTCGCCCCGCCCCCATGCCCTTTTCCCTCCTCCCTCTCTCCGCCCCTTTCGGCCTCGGCATCCCAGCCTCGGCCCCGATGCGCTCCGGAGGCGGCCCGAGGCGCAGCGCACTCTGCCAGGTTGACGCGGTCCTGCTACGATGGTATTTCCAGTCGGACCTCGGACAGAATAACACGCTTCAAGAACATGAGACCCTCCGCCTGCCAAAAAACACCCCACACCACAAGATCAGTCGAGGGTGCCCTCCCCCAGAATGCACGAGAACATCCAGCAAACGCGATGAACACTAGGGTATGATCCCCGAACCGACCTCGATCTTACAACTCGGTCCGAATGTATCTCACCTCGGTCTCGCCACTCTGCGTCTAGCCCCTCACCCCCACCTGGACCATGCCTTTCTTTGTTCACAGGATGGGCCACGATGCTCCTCGATGGTCCTCGACGAATAACTGCACACGTCCGAGCGATGCCAAGGGGAGAGACGCGCAGGCGCGCCCACGCGGCCTTTCAGCTAGCGCTCACACGAGTACAGATTGAGCCAATGTGTGGTAGCCACGGCGGCCAACTCCGCAGCCCCGCCTTCCCAACATGATACGCCATGGCATGTCGCTCCCATAAACCAGGCAATCCTAATTCAAAAAGAAACACGCGGGCGCGCGGTTTTTCCTCGAACGGTCACACGAAGCCAAATTGAACCAACATATGATAGCCACGGCGGCCAACTCCGCAAAACGGCAAGCAAGCGGTGGCAGCTGAAAACGGGACGGTAATAACGGCTCCCAGGAACGGCCAAGAACGACAAGAAACAATATGCATCGTCCTCCTCCTCCTCATCCGCCTGCTGCATCTCCTCCTCCGTCTCGTAATCCCTCCTCCTCCTCATGCTCCTCCTCCTCCTCCTTTTCCTCCTCCTCCTCCTCCTCCTCCTCCTCCTCCTCCTCCTCCTCCTCCTCCCCCTCTTGGGCGCAGCACCAAGAGCGGACGGAACCCGTCCAGTGGGCAGGCCGCTTTGGAGGGCGGCGCTACCCCCTTGCAAGTGGGGCCCTTACCGGTTGCGCCACCTCCTCAGCCAGACACAAGCAGCCAGCACGGCAGAAGACGCAGCCGGGCTGAAAGCGAAAGCAAGGCACACGGCACCTCACCGTCGCACATGAGAGAAGGCTCACCTCATGGCTACGATAGGAGTGCTGAGACTGAGCGAGCTGAGGTCGAGAGCGCGCGAAATCCAGCGATGAACTGCACCCGATCTTGAAACTTGAATTCACCAGCATGGAGGCGCACCAAAACTTGGCGCTGTCTTTGCTGAGGACGGGCTTGCACTCACATGCCAGACGCCCCACGCAAGAGGAGGTGCTGACAGCACATTGGGCACACGAAAAAACTGAACGGCACCAATCGAGCACGTGGCTAGCACATGCTGCTTAGACCCAGAAACACACAGCTGCTCCTGCGCGTCAAGGATCCGCCAGGCAAGAGTTGGCGGAGGAGGCTCCACGATCATGAGTGAGTTGCCTGGCCGAGCAGCCGGCTGCCTGTGCAGCGAGTCGTCAGAGGCAACAGCATCGCCAACACCATCCAGCCATCGAGACGTGAGGGAGACAATTTTGCGCTGCATCGAGAGCATATTCAAAAACTCAGGATACGGACGCTGAGCCTCGGCACGCATATTCGCGGCTCGGGCGGTTGCATCGTTCCCCAGCTTATCTCCGAGAGACCGCCACCCCTCCTCCACCACGGCGTGCGTGACGTGCGCCGTTGCCTTCCTCAGCTCGGTCGGGTCACCGCCCCAATCATTGACGCTGTGCCAGACATGCTTCCAAAGACAAGCCCATGCAGCCGAAGGAGCAGTAGCGGCCTCAGGGCCCCTCGGCGGCCTCAGAGTCCGAATGGCATGCAACTGGCGGCACTGCATGCATGAGGCCAGCTAGCAACACATGCAGCTCCGCCCCATCTATGACCTGGAACGGCGACGGGAACAGGCCCGTGACAGCCACAATGACGGTGCTGTCGGCGGCAAAGGCTACCACAGCCCAAGCCGCCTGTCCCCGTTCAGGATCACCCAAGAAAGGCAAACCATCCAGATACACATCACCCGTGAGGTCCTGAGGATTCCCCTGGAAGACGAAACCCGGATCCTTAGGGTACTCCAAGACACCGCGCGGCGGCTTGGGCAGCGGCAGCAACGTCTGCTCGAGCAACATCCTAGCCAGGTCCTAGCCAGGTCGTTCGTGTCCGCGTGCTGGGCGAAGGCCCCAATGACAGCTGGGACAGACTCTCCAACGGCCTCAAGCATGGCTTCACACACTGCGCGGCGGTGGAGGAGGGTCCCAGGGGCAACCCTTGCACGCAAGACACGTTGAAGGATCGATCCAACCTCGTTGATTCTGACGGAATTGTGGCCATTGAGCCACGATGCAGGCATTCCGAAGGTAATCCCGTTGCTGCCAGGTGAGCCCTCCCTTGGTGCCCAAGAGGTGTTTGACGGAAGCCTCCCAAAGCCACCACGGAACTCAGAAAACCCCAAATGCTCCAAGACCTGCAAGTTGGCCCAATCCCTGATGGCGTGCCCGATACATGCCAGCAAAACCCTGAGACGCTTATTTTCCAGGTTGAGCACGCCGCCATCAGGAAGCCTCCAGACTAGAGCGTGCTCAACGACGATCCCCACTCGATGCAGGGTGCAGTAAAGAGATCCGAATGCATCACGGACGTGCGGCCACATGCTATCTTTGTCAGACAGAGCATCACGCGCATGCCCGAGGCCACGCACAAGGACATGCTTGGGCACAGTACCGCACCACAGCACGTGGAAGAAAGCATTGACTCGGTCGAGCCTGGCCCGCCAGATCGGGTCGACGTG